CCTTCGGCTTGAATTTAAGACTTACTGACTGATACATGGATAGTTACCCTGTTCTATAACTCAATGTTCATCGTTCCAAAGTCTCAAACTGACGCCTGTGGTTGTCAAGGAAGGTATACTGCGTGTACACAGGATATCAGGATATGATGAAACTATTATTGAGTGTGGCAGAGGTTATGAATTACACCAAACGTATCATTAGCAAAGTCTCGAACTCGCTGAGAAAAAGTCCTACCTTTTAAAGGAGGATAAAGTGTCTGTCATTTCGTGTGAATGACAAATAGAGGTCTAAATGCGCCTTTTTTTTGAAAGGTGGCATTACAGGAAAACAGTAATCTAACAGAAAACAAAAGGATTTCGTTTATTAGTTCATAGCTGTCAACGTGTTTTCAGAAAAAAATGCGCTAACTGACATTGTGATGTGCCAAGGACTGGGTTATCTGTCTAAACTTTTTTTAGTTATTTACGTGATTTTTGGGGGGTGTTTGCAGATTGCATTTGTTGTTACTATACAATGTCCTCAACGGTTGATTTTGCTTATTAAATCATCTATTTCCTTTGTTTAGCTGACAGGTGTCATGAAGGCCGAAATCTACCTATTTACTATAATCCTCTCCGCAAGGGTAGGGAAGGCTGAGTTTGCCAGTCCCTGTAGAACAGGATTATATCAAGCATCTGAAAAAGGCAAGTTTATGGCGGTGTTTTATCTCGAACTTGCACTCAGTGTATGTTATTTTAGTATGGGTTTATTGGTATCAAGACAGACTAATTGGTAAGTTTAATTTGTAATTTGTTTGATTACATTAGATAGAAGAAACATGTTGAGTCTTTTCCTAACCAGGGCAGGCGTACCTCTATAAATTTAGGGTCGGATCAGAATCAACAATCATTTATTTTAACATGTTACATCGAGAAGCTAAAAACCTCGTTCAAAATACGAACGTGTATAAATAAAACCCATAATAATGACAACTATGATATATTATTCTATTTTAAAAACAACTCAATAAAAATATAAAAACTTAGCAATAAAAAGCTAAAACCTACTAAAAACTAGATACTAAAAACGTGAAAGGAAAACTACAAGTCACGTTCTACAAAAGCTACAATCTTGCAATTTACTTTGAAGTCATTTGCATGACTTGAGAGACGTATTTGAGTGGTCAAACTGTTCCATAACTTAGCTACTAAATAAGTGAAAGAATTCTTTTTCAATTTAAGATTAAAAAATCTTACACTGTCCAGTTATTTAATCAACGATTTTAGATTCATTTCTGCATCCGTAATGGAAGGTAAATTGATGCGCGAAGTACTTCAATTTTCCGACAGCTTCTTTTTCTGTTCGAATTTTATGTAAATATTTTCATATAGTAGTAATGTTATCCATTCAAAAGTATTTAAGAACTTCAAGCGATCAAGGGATACGACCCAATGAGGCGGATTTTTATTTAACTTTGTGTTTATGTATCTCAATATAATTCAAGTATTTTACCCTTGTTCTTTCACAGATAGAGCCTTAACTGGACACATACTCGATGTGTAAGTACACCAGTATGCTTTGACTATAGTCACTATAGTTGCGCATATCGACTAACGTGCACACGAATCTAACAATAAACGAAAAGCCTGAAAATTCAGCATTGATGGGCTTTCCAAGTTGGCCCAAACCATGGTCCTCCGCACGCGCGCCAAACCGAGGAACTACACTATAAAAAAGGCGTAAGAAAGAATGGAAATGCTTGTCCATAGAAGAAGTATAATGACGCCAGCTGCTTAGGCTACGATTAGTCTCTCATTTTACTCAGGTTCGGAAGAGCGAGATAAATACTCAAGAGCGCTTAAAAAACATCGCAAGTGGGGAAAGGTAGCAATTTCAAAAGCAGTCTAGTGTAAGGTGGATTGTTCAACCTTCGCGTAATTTTTGGGTGCGTGCGCACGTAGATTTTACGCGTAAACTAGAGCCAATTTATGTCACGCGTAAACTAAAAAGTTGAGCGAGGTTTTCCTTTTACATTTGCGCGCGGCCTTTCATGCATTTTACGCGCGTACACACGTAGGAATTTAATACGCGACAGTGGAAATCTACCCTAATTCGCCCAATCCACTATTCCTAGTGACCTGTCCATCTTAATAAGTTTCTCTTTTTAGTTTATAATTATCCACATTATATGATAAAGAATTAAGCAAATAAAACAAAACGTGATTAAAAACATCTATTCAACTGGCAGTAGAAAGCAACCTGAGCGGTCAGAGAGGTACTTAAAGCCAGATCTCAACGCGCGTGATTCCGCACTCGGCACATGCTGCCTATTGCTTCAATTCACTTTCTTTATTTCAATTCACAGGACCAGGGGCGTGAGTAGGCCCGGGCCTACAAATTTTTGGTTTGATCACTCTGCCCCTGGTAATAAATTATGCGTTGTTGGTGTGAGCTAAAAAGCGTAAGAGCTCAAAGTGTTGGTGAGGTCAGTGCATACTAGTCATGCCTGCAATTTTCAGGATATGTGGAAATGAAAGTCGGCCAGAACTAGACGAAAAGCTGGCTACGCTCTTAAGGACTGAAAAATACACCACGCGCCACTCAACGACTTATCCTTAGCATAACAGTTTGTAATGAAATTTGTAAATCAATTACCATTTGTTTATTTGTCAATTGGCAGGCTCAAGGTAACAGATGAAATTGCCTGTGGAAGACTTTGCTTGCATCGCAATGGCTGCGTATCGTACAATTACCAGTTTGAAAATGATAATGGGATATTTCATAAGTGTGAACTTAATTCACAAACGAAGGAGGCAAAGCCAGAGGCTTTCCAAGAAGTGCGTGGCTTCCTGTATTTTGGGTCTTTATACGAAAGAGAGGTTGGTATATTAAGCAACTTAATTGAGAGGCAAGGAGGATGACAGAATCAGTGTAGAGTCAGCATGGTCTGTCTTGCTTCTTAAATTTATTTGTTGTACAAAAATTTCCTGACTAGAGACATCATGGTTTTCTTACTATAGTATTGTATGCTGGTTCTGTCTACATATGTATTCGACACAGGCCACAACTCAAACAAAAATACAAACAACAAAGCAACAAACGGACAACCAATAAGCTACTAAAGTTACTGTGTCTCCGTTTCAAATGTTCGAATAATGTGTGTTTTGGTAAAATCTAAAGGAGATAAACTATTAATTAAGCAAGCTCACTGACCCCAATTCCAAGTATACATGAGCGCCGTCTCTTTAATTTCCCCTCGAATCCTACAGTTTTGATTCAGCAATCAGTACCTTAAAGGGTTATTTTAGTCGTGTCTCATCTGGACTAAAACTAAAGAAAGCCTTAGTAGCCAAATGGTAGCCTATCAAGTGCTGATGAACTCATTTATAATGAAGTTCAATGTTTGATTCAGTAAAATCTTGGGCATATATATTCAATATCGAGCTGATACATCATTCAGTGATAGTTGTATAACTTTTACTTATGAATCCTTCAGCCACGTGTAAGGTTTAATTCCGGATTCCGGAATCCTTGAAATGTTTGCTTGTGAAATCCGGAATCCAAGAATTATTTCTTTTGGAACCCGCAATCACTGGTTTTGGAATCCGGAATTCTGAGCTCAAGGAACCCGAAATCCCGCTAAAGATTAGAATCAGGAGGAATCCAGTACCTGGAATCCGGAATTCACAGCGCGGAATCCAGAATCCAACATGACTGTCTTGGATTACCTTACGTGGTGCGAAACCCTGTTTCTATATGTAGACTATGTAACTAAGAGCGTTAAATAACTTACTGTCTATAGGTTTTCAGGGAGGGCCAATCAGATACCAAGGAGGAGAGTAGGACTCTTAATGCGTTTTTTTTCTTTCTTTGTTACTACAGAAAGGCACTGGTTGCGCGCATAACAACTGTTATAATGGCGGTACATGCGTGGACATTTGTCATGGGGAGATGTTTTACTGTCAGTGTCCTAAGCTGTTTCGTGGTAAACATTGCGAGAGGCCAAAAGGTATTGTGTAAGAAAACGTGCATTAGCGCATTGAATGCATTGATAAATAAAACTCATTAGTAAGATACGGGTAAACTTAAAAAAAAGATAAATGTAAAACTCGTACAGCCAAACGTGAAGCACGTTAGATAATAACCGACTGAATCAGTGCAAATGATGGTGGAGGGTGGAGTATGAAGTAGTGATAAGAACGTGAGCGAACATCCTGTCACTTACTAAAAGGCCCCTGCAGCTCCTAACGCCTTTAGATAGTGAGGCTCTCTAGTAAGAAATAAGGCGAAGAAAAGACTAGAAAGCACTTGCGGAACTTACAGGCAACAGTTCTTCAAAAAAAGCATATTATTACCGTCAGCTAGGCCACATTATGCACCAGAGTTGTTTGCTCACTTCTTGTTGACTTTATTGATAACTATATGTGAAATTCAGCTTCAACAATTCACTAAGTCAGTAACATAACAAAGGAAGAGACAATGAGGAGTAGGCAAGCTAGCTATTCGATCTTTGCTAGTGGAGCGCGGGCACAGGCCGGGTCTCTCTGAGGAGAAACCCTGGACACGAGGTTTGAGGCACATGCTGCTTGCGCTTATTATACTTGCGTCGCATAAAAATAAGTTAAGACTTAATTGACCTTCTCACATGTTTGTGTTTATTTTGTACCTTTAGCAATAGCGTGAGTAGGATTTTTTACCTCACGATATGGCCCTGAAAACAGTTCTAAAACGCCGTACATCGACAAATCGCGCGGCGCGCAACTTCAAACTATATTTACAATTCTGGGAAGTAAAATAAAGAAAATTTTCCGCTTTTTTTTCACAGCACACAGCTGTAAAGAGTTGATGGAACTTGGTGATATAACAGACGGCGTCAAGCGAATAGCGCCTGATGACAGCGGAGATGATGTTTTTGTATACTGTGACCAAACTACAGATGGTGGTGGGTGGACTCTGTTCCAAAGACGCTCGAGTCCTTTCACAAACTTATTCTCCAAAAACTGGGCAGAATACGAAGCAGGCTTTGGCGAAGTTAACTCGTCTTTTTGGCTTGGAAACATGGTCTTGTCGCGCCTCACAGCAACACCTGTAAAGCTAAGGATCGAACTTAAAGAGAGCAGCAGTAACCAGCAGGGATTTGCTGTATATCAAGACTTCTCGATAACCGGACCTGAGGATAATTATCGCCTCAGTGTAGGGTCTTATGTCGGAAATATCGGCAACGCAATCAGCGGTCACCCGAACCATGCGTCTATGGAAAACGGAATGCAATTTTCGACAACAGATCGAGACAACGATGTTGCTAACCTGGCCAACTGTGCAAGTGTGAACGGAAATTCTGGATGGTGGTTCCCTCACTGTGGTCACGCAAATTTGAACAGGGTTGGCAATTTACCACAATGGGATGACTGGAAATATTTTGCTACAATCAGTTACA